GAACTAATAATATATTTATTAATATTAATGATAATTTTGGATCTTGTTAATGAATATTTGATTGCAAAAGTAATAAGATTAATAGAAGAAATATACTTTTAGTTCTTTGTTTCATAAATAGCATCAACTATCCTTACGCATTTAAAAAGCTTTTTATTCTCGAGCTAATCATCATTTTCATTACATATTAATTTTTTATAAACTTTACGATAATGGGATTTATTTAGAAAGCCAGTTAGAAACAGAATAACTTAAAAGACTATCTAAACCAGATTATTTCTAATTGTCTATTAAATTAATAATATCATTATAAAAATTTTCACTTTCTTTCTTAGCAATTGCAACTATAGAATTAATTTTTGCTCTTTGATTATCAAATCGACTATTTCATCTTTTTTCTAATTCTTCATTTTCAGATTTTAGTTGAACAATTCTTCGCTCATATTCCTTCATAAGTTCAACATATTTTATTCATTGAGCTTCAGAATTAGTTAATGATTTTCTTATACTCTAATATAATATTTTCATTATCTTGTATGATATTTCTATCTTCAAATGTTCTTAATCTTTTTCGTTGACTATTTTCTGATATAAATTTATATAGTAAAGTACCAGTAACAACAATTTGATTATAATACTTTTTACAAATTGAATAATTTTTTAAGGAATTGCATAATAAAGATAATTCAGGAAGATACTTAGCAAATATATTTATTTAGTCTGCTGCTATCTTCGCTCATGTATTCCTTCACTTTTAGTTCTTCTTGAATTTACATAATACTAAGCTTTCTGAATATTTAGCAAAAAACCCTTCAAATATACATGGTAATTATTTAGCAGTCATCATTTTAAAGGTTAATTTTAAGAAATTTTAAGTTAATATTATGCTTTATATTCTTAAGTAACCCTTTGCAGATGAAAACAGATTATAAAAACATATATTTGAAAGAGTATATTTATATATTTATTATAAATGTATTATAATAATTTTTTTTGCTGTTTGGATTAGTGAAAGTATTATAATTATTTAAATTACAGCTAATTTTATAATTCTTAAATCCTAATAAATTGCGACTGAATGCGATTAACAATATTTTATAATAAAATTACTATAAAATATTGTGACTGAATATGACTGAAAAATTATTAATGGTCTATAAATTATGAAATTAGTTATAATAACCAATTAATTTTAGAAATTTGACTGCAGATTATTTTAGATTTAGTTTCAATTTTTGGTAAAATCCCAAATTGAATTAAAAATACCATCAATTATGTTAATTTTATTAAAAGATTCAAATTATAAATCAAAATATATTTTCTCAACTGATGGATTTCTTAATATTATTTAATGTATTTTTAGTTTGTTTATGTGTTTGTTTTTGTGATTGATGTGAAGAAATATTACTTTTAATTATTGGTATAGTTGTGTTAATATCAATACTATTTTCATTATTATATTGCTTACTTGTTTTTAGTAATCCCACAAAAATTTAAAGACCTCTATAAAGTTGGTACAGATATTATTTTACCATTTTTTGAGTTATTTTATAAACTAATTCATTTAGAAACTAATCAACCTTTTTTTTAATAAGTTCCTATAATACCTATTATTAAAAATTATGTAATAAATAATCATTTTAAAAATTTAAAAGAAAAAAAACTCATTTAAGAAATTTAATACCTTCATATCATATGTATTAAACATTTTCTTTCTTTCTTGATTTCTACAAAATGGATTAATAACACAACCCCAATTTTTATATATGGGTTGTGATCTAAGAAAATCAAGTTCTGAGAAATTTTTGACTAAAATTAATATCTTATTACATTTTAATTTAAATGTAATAAAAATTAAAATGCAATTAAACTCTCAATTTTATTAAAAAATTCTCAGAACTTGATTTTCTTAGATCACAACCCATATATTATAAACTTTATTAACAGTTTCTATGCTAATGTATAATCTTTCTATAGTTTTCTTTTCTTTTATATATAACATATCATTTCAAATCCTTACTTAAATTTTTCATTTCTAATAAAATTATATATTAAATTAGATTAAGAAGTAAATATATAAATATAAAATTAAAAATATACTCACAATTTATTAAAAAAAAGAAACTTTTAAACCTTTATAAATTTAGTCTTAGCAAACATAATTCAGTAAAAATTGTATAAAATTTGTAAAATTTATTCTTAATTTATAAAATTTAGAAAAAAAGTATCAAAGAATTTATGGTAAAGCTTACAAGATATAGCTTATATTTTATAATATAATATCAATATTTTATAGTTTCTAAATAATTTATTATAGAAAAAATTTCAATATAAGTATACTTTCATAAAATCAGATGATACGTTTTAGTAAAAATTAAGAAATCACGAATTTTTTGCCACTAATCTAATTTTGAAAACTGCAGTAATTAAATTAAAATGATTTTTATCTTTATATAATTTTCAATTTTTATAAGTATGCTATTATAAAAACATTATCTTACATCATATATTACTGTTTTAAAAGAAAAAGCAAATAAATTAATTATTATACATTATTTTATTATTGTAAAAATAAAATAATAAATATAAAATGATTAGTTTATTCTCATTAATATCTTGCAAAAAAATTTGAAGAATAATATACTGAAGATAAGAAAAAAAAATTTTTTTTACTGGAAAAATATGAAGAAGAATATAATTTTAAAATAGAAATTTCTTCATTTTTTACTTCTTTATTAAAGATATTTTTAAATAATTTTTAATTATTTTTTTAAAAATATTTAAATACGATAAATGATTATTTAACTTTCTTTTTAAGAATCTAATATTGATACTTTAACAGAAATCCAATTTTAATAAAAAGAAAAAAACTAAAATTACAGATTATTCTTGTCAAATTTCTTTTTTAAATAAAAAAAATTTAATGAAAAAATTTGGTTTTAAATTCTATTATAAAAAATGGATGGTCATTTAGATGGATTGATAATAAATCAAGTCAAAAAATAATTAATTTTGCAAATTCTGGATTAAAATTATCTAATTAAAAGTATTGCCAGTTAATTTTAATGATAAATTCAGAAATTATTAAAAGTAATTTATTGATACTGCACAAAATGATTTATTTGAAGTAACTATATATTTTGATAGATGAAAAAATATTAAAAAAATAAAAGATTATAGGTTCAGTTTTAATTACTTCTAATGAATAAGTATTAGTATAGGGAGGAGAAAATGCAAGTGAAAATAGGTTAAGATGAGAAGGAATTGAAAAATTTTTATTGGACTTTTGGATGAATAGATCTAAATAATAAATATAATGCTATAATTACTGATTTGCTTCTCAAAATCAAGCTATAAGATTAATACTAATTTTTATATTAATTTTTATATTAATTTAAATTTTATTTTTTAATTTATAGAAAACGTTTAACTTTAAAATGACAAAAAATTTTTTTGGTTCATGTTTTGCCCATTAAACCAATTTAATTATTAGAGAAATTTTCAAAGAATCTTCTAATTTGATAAATGCGACTGAAAAGCTATTCAAATTATTATATATTTTAATAAATCAATTTATTTTATGGCAAAATTGCATAATGAACAAATAATTAAGAATAAATTTTGCTTTAAAGATAATAATAATAATATTATTTAAATATAAAGTATTTATAATAAATTTTTTTAGATACTTATTTCGAAATTTACTCCTAGTGAATTTGAATTTTATAATAAATATATAAATGAGTTAGAGGATGATGAAATTTATCATTCTGATAAAGAAACTGAAAGAGGAAATGATAAAAATTTATCATTTGATATTTGTAAAATTATTAATAATAAAAATTGGAAAAGCTATTACATCCTTTTTTTGAGGCATTAAAAAAATTACAAACTGAAAACTAAGGTGATGTAAAAAAAAGGCGACTTCAAATTATTGCATAATTATGTAGTCTTAAGTATCAAGAACGATGAACAATGATGATGAAGACAACATTCAATACAAGCGATAAAATTCTCGAAGATGATGACAAATTAATGATTAAAATAGTCTTTCGAAACTATGAGGATTTGATGAGGTAATCGTTCGAATCGAACGATTAAATTCAATTCAAGAACGATGAATAAGTATCATTCTATTTGTACAATTGTTAATAAAGAATATAGCTTAGAGACAATGATTCAGTTAAAATTTCATTCTAACGATTATTTTTTAATTTCTCTTAATTTCAATGTTTTTTTGAATTTTACAATGCTTTTTTAGAGATTCGCTAATTCTAACGTGTTTTACTAGATTATAAACATAGTCGGAAATTCAGTAACCATTAGCTTAATAATGTCTTAATCCCTGAAAGGTTCTTCTGGATTATACTAAAAGATTTGAAAAAGTGAATCCACTTATTCTTCTGGCAAGATAAAAAGACGGAACAACAAGTATAATTTAAATATACTGAATAATTTTAAGGCTCTAATTAATTGCCAATTTTATGAATTACTTCAAAATATGGAACAAGTTAATCACTTTGATCATATGTGTAATGTTGTATCAGTTAAAATTCTAATTCCTTGGTGGAATGTTTGGTAAAGTCAAAATAAAAAGTAATTAGTTCAGATTAATGATTTAAAAATAACAGTAGATGTTAATTTGGCATTTAGCTTAATGAGGGATCCAGGACAGAAATTTTTCACCAGTTTTAAACATTCGCTACTTCTATATGCACTATAATACATATATATCATACTTCGTTAATTTGTATCAATATGTTTCATCAGAATGTTATGTAAGCATTTGTTCTTTTTATTAACTTGAACAATTACAAGATTAAGAATAAATCATTGTAACAATTTGTCACATTATAAGCAAAGGATTTCTTTCCATATATATCAATTTGTATGCAAGTTATTTTAAATAATTAAAGAATGTGGAGATAAAAATCATCGAGAATTAAAAAATTATTTCAAGAAAAAGGAAAGACATGAGAATCGTGATAATGTGTGTATAGTTAAATGTAAGAAATGTTGTTTTGTATAGCCAGCATTCTTTTAGTCTCCACCTCTTCTACCCCTTGATTTTGATAAAAATTCAATTTCAAAGAAAAGCGCCTTTTACTGAAATCTACGGTTAGTAATGATTCAGATAAGACCATAAACTCCGTTCCAATAAGATTTATTTCACTGAAATGTGAAATCGTTGGTGACATCATGACAAATGTTCGTATATTATTAATTTCTACGAGAATTTTATCATTTGGTCTGATTGCAGACACACCGAATGCATTTAATACATCCTCACTGATATAGGTAACTGGAGAACCTGTATCTAAGAGGAAGTGTACAACCTTGATCTTTTTGTTGATTTTTATCGTCGTTGCACAAAAAAGCCGAAAGTTGACCCCGTACATAATTCCATTAATATCATCATCAAATTTTTTTGAGGAGTCCGAAAGATGATCTACTCCAAGTCTTTCTGATATTCCTTCGCGAAGGTCTTTTCCACAAACGTCCGTTAAAAGAATATCAAAATTCTTTGGTTCATAAGTATTATCAATATCAATCATCTTTTTACGAGTGCGACAAAATAAGAAACACGAGGAAGCAAGAATATAATTTGGGAAAATGTTTGTGACTCAGGTACAAACGCGTTATATATATAAACATATGGGACGGATCATATGATTTACTATATCTCGTGACTTGATTTTACTCCATATGTACTCTGTATATAAATTTTCGGCAGTACGACATTTTGTGCATCAAAAGCTGTCCGAAAGTAAAAAAATATTATCCCTCCAGGCTCCGATTGGTGATGTGAGAGCGTTTTATGATTGGGATAGATCGATTATGTTCAAATTTTCTTATCTCTTACACGTCTTTTTTGATCAAATATTTTATTTAATTTTTAAGGAATAGTAAACGAAGGGAACTGGGCTGGGCCTAAATTACTACTTTATTTCGAGTCATACAACTATAGATTTATTTGTATTTACGCTTTTAAAAAAATATTTTCATATTTCAAGTGACTATTTGATAAAAATACCAAGACATGAATATTTACAAACTAAAGTTTATTCTATTTTTTGAATCTCACATTTGATGCAAGTTGAGAGATTCCTAGCTTATGGTTAGTTACTTCTATACGCAGTTCTTTATGTTTTCAGGTCAAAAAGAAAGTAAAGGTAAGCGGAAGTTTATGTTTCAATGTATGTTTATTAAGGACAACTAAACAGCACAGCATTTATTGCCTGAATCGTCCCCGCTCCATATGATCAGATTTTAAGTTTTCGATATCGTTACAATAAATACAAAAGGGATAAATATTATCTAATCTTATTATCCAGGGAACATTTTCTTCATCTAAAGCGAAATCCATTATTTCTATTTCCGAAATTCATCAAGGACTTATTTTCCAGGAGCCATTTTGGACACATGAAATATTGGCCGGATGGCATATTGGCTATGAGACAAAGGCAATTTAGCCAATGGACAAATTGGTCGAGCTGCAAGAAAACAACAAACAGAACAATTATACTATTAATCATTGCAACAATACTGTATTCAATACTTGCTACGATTAAATTAATACGATTATGAATAATATTATAAATATGTAACAACTATTTTTCATAAAGTGTAGTTATAAATTATAAAATTAATTTTGTAATAAAATTAATAAGGTTCTGATGCATTGCATTGTTTAACCTTTATTTTCTTTCGTACCTTTATCATTTGTTTTCATAATCTTTTACCCGTCACTCTCTACCATTTCAACATTATCACTTTCTTCGTAACTCTATTACTCTTTTTATCATCATGCTTTTCATCATCAATAGTTAAATCTTCATCAATTATATTTGGACTTTGGATAAAATTGAGATAATGCTACGATTATTAATAATATATCCGCTCTATTATTTTCTGGGAATTGTGCCCTAAATTTATTAGCTTATTTTAATTTATAAACATATAGTTAGTTTTAATAGATCAATCTCTCCCTCTCTCTCTCCCATCTCATGACTGACCATATATTATCGTATTTGGATCATACGATTTTGCGGTTTCTTGCTGTGGTGCTATGGGAACAAAAAAAAAATTTTAAAAAAAATGTACACACGTTCTCCGGTGATGGTGATGATATGGAAATAGACCCAGAATATAATTGACAGATTTACAATTGAAGAATCAATCTCACCCACAAATTTAAAAGGATAAAGACAGTTTAGATCATCTTCGTTCTAGTTAATAATTTATTCGTATGTTTTTCTGCAGCATATTTCTTGTACTTTTTCACCAAATCAATATAATTATCACAATCTAATATTTGGCCAAATCATACGAGGCCCGTACATCAAATCCTCACGACATCTTTTAATAACCACAATGACGGACATGCCAATGATATTTCGATATCTCAATCAAATGATTTAAATTCAAATCATGTTCTCTCGAATCTCATTGATAATTAATGATGGTACTAATTGATCTCAGAACAGCCTTTGGTAAAATACTTACGTGTCGGTGTGTTGAGTATTACCTAACCTGGTGATTCTGATATTCTTTCTATTGTTTTTAAAAAAAAGTGGTTTCATTTCAGATATTTTTTTAAATTTTTTTTAATTCATTAATAGTATAATAACGATAAAACAAGCTAAGTAAGCTTAAAGTTGTTCCGTATTGATCATGAGTTAATGAATGAATTAATAAATTTATCATTATTCGCAATGAATAAAAGCATATATATATATATATACCAATTTTTTTCAATTTTCCTTCCCGTCAATTTTTTTTATAATAATATGATTTATACAAATTTATTATAACCGAAGGGTATTATCTAATCGAAAATGGCAAATGAACTTAACAAACAGGTTGGTGAGAATTTATTTTTTATCCTAAACAATAGAAAATGAATGGATTTACTTATCTTCGATATTATAAGTTACGTGCAGTTGTTGTGAGTATAGTATGTATCTAGCATCGTTTTATCATTTTATTAATTACTTTAATCCATGCTAGATCAGAGAATGTTTAATACAATTACATTGAAACTCAAAAAGAGGTTTACCAAAAAAAATTTCAGGGAGTTTTGGCGGGCGATTCTATGTCTGTAAAAAAGTTTGAGCTACCGTATAAGTAAATGGCCTGAGCTTCGCATCACGTGAAAACAAGAAACAAAAAATTTTTTATGACGGACGTAAAGAAAGAAATACTTTTTTTGAAGTCCATGCTTTATCATTTCTTGAAGAAGAGTTAAAATTATTTAAAAGAAATGCTTTGTTCTCATCTTTTTAGACGCTTATGTATGCCATGACACCATAGAAGTCAGGTGAAAATTCCATCATTGATATCGATAGACTTTTCTTCTCAAACATTTTAACGACAAACATTGTTGGTCTTACTTCTTGTGTAAAATATGACTTGTACTCAAAAGGTTGCTAAATTGTATTTTAGGAAATTTTATTACTTTTGGTGAACAATATCAAAAACTAATCAATCTAGTACACTCTGTGAGGGATTCAATAAAATCTCATAAGAAGTAGACTGGAAGACTTTGAAGAAGAACTCTACATTTTCGATAATACAGTCATTTGGAGTAGAGGAAATACCTTGTATAAACCTTAGACAAGTTTATTCGTTTGTTTAATGTAACAAAAAGGTATCACTCCTACCTTGAACAATGTTCAGAAACTTATCGTAAAAACAATTGCAAACAGAAAGACAATATGCTTCTTGAAAATTGCGCCAAAGTATTCTGCTTAGATGGTCAACATTTCTTGATAAGAGTCCCTCTAATATACGTCATACTTGGGCGATTCGTTTGATTCAACGTGTTTTTTTTATCGATAATCGGAAAATCAAAAACCATTAGCCTGTATTGATTCATTTCTTATTCCCCAATATGATTCTTGCGTAAGCTCTTCCTGATGAATCGAGCAATAACATGTTAAGAACTAGCCAGACGATGGACAAGTATAGATTCTAAAAAAAATAAAAAAATTCGGCTCCGCAATTCATACATGCCACATATGTAATACATCCAAAATGCGTACAATAGTTAGAAATTGGACAAATTATATTAATTCTTTATTATAATAAACATCGATATAATATTACAGGAATTCAAAAAAAAACATCACGATATACCGATATTTTAAAATAAATAATAAATATTTTTTTCTATTATGATAAAAATGATACTATAAATTTTGTGCATATATTTGGAGGGAACCGAATATATTTAAGGGCATTATTCTAATCGAATCGTTTTAAATTTAATTTTTTATTCATATTTGCTTTTTAATATCTATGTGGAAACTCAAAATGTAATAAAATAATGATCGGTCCGAGTCTATCAGATGATTAATATTTACTGTATATTGAAATCCCGCATGAAGAAGCCTACAAAAGAAAACGGTGCATGATCTTATTGTAACTTCCAATAAAGAAATTAAGTAATTACGATTAGAAAAATTTAATCAATCTTAATTTTATTTATTTACTCATTGAATTGTATTCTACTTTAAATTATTACAAAGAAAATTTTAAAGCTTCATTTCATTTGAATTATAATAAGCAATAAGCAATATTTGAAAAAAAAATGAATCGAATCATAATTTTAGTCTGTGTTTTCGCATCAATCATCAAATCAACTCCATTGGAATTGTTAAAACGTCAAGATTCTTCCATCGACTTTAAAAATGCGATAGCTACTATGCAATAAACATGTAAACAGAACAGACTGATGCTGATCTTATTGTTACGAAAAAATTTTTGAAGCTTTAAAGAGATTAAATTATCATTTACTTCAAAAGCAAATTATGCGACATTGAATTTTTTTAAATTCATATTTAAAAAAAGGTCAAAGCGAAAAATAAATTAGGTCATGTTGTGACATTTAACCCCAACTTCTGATTTATAGGGAGAAATTCCTCGATTCCTCTCCTCCCGAGATTAGTTTTCCCAAATATTAAACGTTAACATTGTTATTGACCCGTCAGTGTCGTAATTAAAAAACCAGAGATCCGAATTAAACCAACCCATTGGGTCAGAGTCACACTTTTTCTCAACCTGGTGAAATCCCGTATTAGGTTGGAAATCAATAATTTTGTTGAATGCAATGAAATTACAAAATATATTTTTTTTTTAAAAAAAAAAATGCCTTTGATCTATCATTCAATCAAAGATTTCAGG